GCGAACGCCGTATCTTCTCCAACAGCAGCTACAAGGGCCGTTTCATTATCTCCTGGGCGGAGGTCCAGCTTAGCCTGCGTCCGGAGTCGGGTTTCTTCCCGTATTAAATCTCCAAAGACGCCATCCATTGACAGCTCCCCTCGATGTATAATGGCGGAACGGATCGGCTCAAACTCTGGCCTCAATCGCATCAGGAAGTGGAGCAGCCTAGCGTGTTGCCGATCCGCGATCACAATGGCGGAAGTTGCAGCAGGGCGAAGAGTGGTGGTGAGCAAATCCTCCTCCGTCCAGAGTTCTTGAGCTGCTGTTAGGTACGCCGTGACATCTCGATCTCCCTGTTCCAGTTTATCTAAAGCCACTTGAACTTCAAATTGGCGGGCGGCACTAGCGGTGGAATACGTTGCCGCCAGTTGTTTCCACATGTCATGGGCTGTCTTATGCATACGAAGACTTAAACATATATTAGGGTCAACCGAATCCAATATCCACGATCTTACACGAGCATCGTTCATAGTCCAGCGCGCAATCTGTTCGGCGGTGGCCGTGGAGTCTGGTTTCGGGTCAGTTCCATCCAGGACCCCGGCGAGTCCCTTCCCTTCAACACGAACACGGAATTGAAATTCCCACAGCATGTAGTTCTTCGGGTTTAGCCGAATTGACAATCTCTCAGAATCGGATGCCGAAAGCTCTGATACCATGTTAGCAAAGCTAAATAAATCGCAAACTTAACGAGATGAACACACAGATTTAACGTGGTATCCCTGGAATGCCAGGACTAATCCACGGGAGAGTCTAGCTCTCCAATAAGAAAATCGTACTATCTTGCTTGCCGTTCTCAGTCGAGTACAAAGAGACTAAATAAGGTTTGTAACCCTAGCATGCCTGCCTAAGTCTGCATGGGTCGGATTTGCATGGGTTTGGGCCAATCATAAACACAAATTACCGTGGCCCAATACACGACCCATGTTACACTAACAGAAAGCTCTGCTCGACCAGAAAGTCAGGATCTTCGTCGACACCATGCTCGAAGTAACGGCGGACATCGATGAGCTCATCTCCAAGCTCAGGAGGACCGCGATTTCGATCGTGATTATCTCCAGGAACTTCGCAGACTCGTCCTGGTGCCTGGAAGAGGTGGCCACCATTGACCAACTCGTACGTTGAAGAAAAAGGACACAAGGCGATGCCGATTTTCTACGACGTCGGCTGAACCACCGTGGCCGGCGACTGGCAGTACCGTTGCTGGGATCCTTTGCTGGTCGCCTTTCGCTGCCTCACCGGCCATACCAGCCCCGGACTGTGAGTATGAACTTAATATTATTGCCCCCCTTAGCTTGGGTTAATTATTATTGATGGTGTGAAGTTTGATTCCAATAATTCGAGTTGTTGAGAGATGTTTGATGATGGATTATATATGGAAGGTTCTGTCGTACTCTTATTCTTAAAGATTAAACTCTTAGTCTTAATTCTATAGATCTCATACACGAAGATCAATTTGATTATAAACAAAAATCGACGGTTATAATTCGTCAAAACATATGCAACAAATTACATGTAACATTCTGAGGTTTAAAGTATATGATTTAGATAAGCAAAGGGGCAGCTGGAGAGCTTCGGCAAGCTTGATGAGTAGAGCTAGTTGGATTCGTCTGTGGGAGGCGAATACCTCCCCCCCGGCAAATCTTTCACCGTATTCTTCCCACTGCAGAGGCTCTCGTTGCGAAAAAGGCTACTGTCCTCTGCATGTGTCTAGTCTGTTGGGCGGAGGAGGAGGCTATGGAGCATTTGTTCCTAGATTGTCCGGTGGCTCAGGCTATGTGGGATTATAAGGGGATGGAGTATCTGGGATAGGGTTTGCCTCGTCATACCTTCCCTCTGTTCCTAAAATGGTTGATGGCTCTCATTAACCAACCTACTGTGTTCCTCGGGGTCGTCATAGTCCTTTGGCGAATTTGGCAATCTCGGAACTGGGTGGTCTTTGAGGGTAAAAGGTTTGGAATCCCGACATTGTTGCGGGAGTTCTCCCAGCAGTATGACGAGTGGACGATTGCTGGTGGATGTGGGTCCTCGTCCTGCCATCCCTAAGGTGCACCAGTTGAGTCCCACTGGGGTTGATTTGGTTGTTTGTATGTGGGATGGTGCTACTAAGAGGGGTTCACACTCGGCAGGGGGATGGTGGTTATGAATCAGGCCCGGGATGTCCTTTTTGTTAAGGGTGTGCAATTCCCGGTGATTGATGATCCCATGGTGGTGGAATTACTCGCTCTACGTGAAGCGGTTTTGTGGTGCATCGGTCATGGTTTCACCGACATGAGGTTTGAAGGGGATTCTAAGGTGGTTATTGATAAGATCCTGCGGGCGGACACCAATGATAGTCGCATGGGGGCGATTCTTGAGGAGATTGTTGAGTATTTTGCCATCTCTTCAGGGTTTAGTGTTCGATTTGTAGGTCAGCGTAGCAATAGGGTAGCCCATTTGGTGGCTCGTAAAGCCCTCTCTTTGTACCCGACTACGAGTCGTTTATTTGATTTTCAGATCTGGCTGGACTCCAGAATGTAACTATCTCTTTGTTTCAATCAATATATGATTATCTTTTGTCAAAAAAAAAAAAACTGTTTAATGATATTAGCTGATCCTTTGTCTTTGTTGGTGTTTCTATTTGCAGCAGCCACGGCTTGAGCGTCTGACGTTGCTCAGCCTCACCTACTGCGGAAACTAGTTGTTGTCCCAAATCTGTGGAAATGTTTGCATCTCGAGCACCTTGTACTCCGTGGATGCAAGGCTCTGGTTGAGCTACCTGTAAGCATTCAATCGCTTCTCAACTTGGTAAGGCTGGATGCTAGGAATTGTGAAAATCTGGAGCGGCCCCCCGCCATGCTCAACTCAACGGTCCTCAAGCAACTTCTGTTGTCCAATTGCCCCAATCTCACGATTTGTCCCGAGGTAATCAATTCAGAATGCTTGCTGGCATTGGATTTAGATGGAACACCCATCAATGCCCTGCCAAATGCAGTTTACAAAGTCAAGCAGGGTGGCATGGTAAGTCTCTCCGGCCCCAACATCACCAGCTTCCCTCTAAATTTGACGAGGTTAGAGCTGCTCCGTCTGCGCGATACTGGTATAGAAGAGATAAAGTGGGAGCAAGGATTTGATGATGATGATGATGATGATGATGATGATGATGATGATGATGCCGAGATTCGATCGACTGCATTTGGTCCACAACTCCCACCTCAAGACTCTGCCAAAGACCATCTGGAAGATGGTCTCTGCTGAACTTATCATTGAGCGTTGCCCGTTGATTGAATGCTTACCAGAGATCTCAGATCCTTCGCCTTTAACGCAGCTTCGTATTGCTGGTTGTGCAAGCATCACCGATATTTCGTCCTGCATCTCGAGCATGAAATCTTTGGCTACTCTTGTTCTTTCTGACATTGGTATCAGGTCCCTGCCTTCCAGTATCCAGGACCTGGACCAGCTCTCTTATCTCGACCTGTCTTACTGCGCTAGCCTCGAGTCCATCCCCGACACAATCCATCGACTCGCCAAGCTGTCCGAATTGTTGTTGGTGCGATGCAAGAGCATTCGGTCTCTGCCACAACTCCCGCCCAATCTTAACATCTTGACGACAAACAATTGCGAATCGTTCAACATCCCGAGCATGCAATTTCAGCACTTGAGGCTCGATGATTGCCCCAAGCTGAACCCGACCACACTCGATAACATCGTGGCCAATTTCTCTCGACAGGCCTCGTCTCAAGACTCGCAGGTTAGAAGGGGGTGTAGTGTGTAGTCTTTAATTAACCACACCTCTTTTTTTTTTTTTGTCTAGCTAGCTAATTGTACTACTAATCGCGTTCGAACGTCGTTGGTTTGATTTGATTTGATCTGTTGCGATTGCAAATCTCGTTCTGTAGGTTGGTTTTCACTATTCAGGAAGTGAGGTTCTAGGGTGGTTTGGTCCACCAAGCGTGGAAGGAGGAGAGTGTGACTGTGTGAAGCTGGAGCTACCTACAGCAGCGGACTGGCCGGAACTGAGAGGAGTCGCATTCGGCGTTGTGTATTCGCTGGACAAGCCTTGTGGTTACATGTCGATCTCGTGCAGTGGCTCCATAGAAGGCGAGGTAGGTCACGCAATGGAATTCTTTCAACTGGCAGTTCCACGTTCTCGATGTCTCGGATCGCGTTTATCTCTGGTCTAGTCACAGATTAGGCGACTCTGTGATGACGAGTAAAACTGAAGAAGCTGCTGCTTGGTATATGAGATTTGCTGGTCTCACTGTTTCGTTCCGATTTTCCGCAGTTCAACTGGGTCCAAAACTGGTAGAAATGGATTTTGTTAGATCTCTCGTAGTTTGCATCGGAATTTGAAACTTATAGGCTTGTTTTGTGTGATTGATCATGGACCGATTTCTCGTTATGGTGCCTTAAGTTATGACGATAGTCGTGATCATCACCTGGGAAAGGCGGTTTGCATGTGTTCATTTTACGAAATTTTCAATTGTAATGTCTTCAATTGTCATTAGCACCTATCCAACTTCAGATGATGGGTAGAGTTAATGGTGTTAACGCTTATCTAACTTTGAACTGAGGATCCTAATAGATAAAACGTTACATGCACACCTATTTGGCGTCATTATGCTCATGTTTTGTCTCACGGTAGTGTATATTGAATTATTGATCTTTTTCGCCCTGGAGGATGTCTACATTTGTCGTTAAGTGAGAAGACATATCCACACCTTGGGTGTCTCCCTTGATACTTAAAAGCAAACGAACTTTCTTATTCGAACATTCTTCGTTTCAAATGACCCGGCTGCATCAAGTAGTCATACTAGCAACCAATGCTTCTCCTCCCCGTTAATGGCATTGTTGTAAAGAGACGTGTTGTTGTTTGTATTTGCCGTCAAATTAGGAGGTGAAGACCTCTAATATTTCTCGAAATTGCAATACAGTGAATGATTACTTAGCTTATAAAGATAATTTGGTTAATAATTTAAACCTCTCATGTTTTCAATATTAGTAATCCTTATCTTTATTACTGGACTATTGTTTCCCGCGAAAACCATATACCATCGTCGGTGCCATATTCGTTTCTGGGGGTGTTGATTTGATTGTTTCGCGGTGGAAGAAGATCCTAAAGTATTATTTCATATAGGGGTGGGCAACGGGAAACGGGTATTTGGGTACACCCATACCCGTCCCGTTTTTTGAGGGTTACGGGTACCCATATTACCCGTAAAATTATTAACGGACGGGACTTGGGACTGTACATTTCCACAATGGGTACCCGCGGGCCGCGGGTTACCCGCAAATACCCGTTTGGGTAATATGGGTACCCGTTTTACCCATTCAAAAATTACACAGGCCCAGGCCCATCTTCCTTCCGGCCCATGCGCGCAGCCCAGCCACAGAACCCTTTCTTCGGCCATTCGCGCAGCGCTCTAGCCTGATTCCCAAACCCTTCCCAAAATCCTCCAGACTAGCCGACCAGTCCTCCTCTCGACCTCTCCTCGACAGCAACGACATGCAGGCGCACCGCCACCCCTTAGCCAGTGCCCAGTAGCCCCCAACAGCCATCCTCACGCAGTCACCGTTATTGACTCGCTGTAGCAGTCACCGTTCCAATTCCAATCGCCGTATCCCTCAGGTTTAATTTTTCTTTCCCTTTCTTAATCTAAGTTATGATTGAGTAAATGGGTTATGTGTCACTGATTGTTGGGATTTTGCAGGACAAAGCTGGATGTGAGAGAGAATTGGCTATTCAATTTGGATGTGTTAGGATCATTCCTTCCGTGCAGAGGAGTCGAACGATGACAGCTCACCTCTCCAATTTCAATCGCCGAAATACCTCAGGTGATGACTTATGACTCTATGATGCGAAAGTTCATAAATGAAGGAGAACTAGATTGAACCTCTATACTTTGATTTGTTTCGGTTTTTCCATGGTGTTTGTATTTTGATTTTTGGGTGACATTTGCTATATTTTTCTGCCCTGCTTTCCCCTTGACTGTGTTGTTATTATGTAGAACACTTGGTGAATTTTTGTGCCCTGCTTCTCCCTTTAATTTGTTGATAATGGAACTGCTGATTTGCAGCAGGCGGTAGCAGCTTGAACAGCAGCAGCTCGATGGTGGGCAGCAGAATAGCAGCAGCTTGCCTCCCCAGTTCGAATTGTTGAATGGAGCTTTTTATTTTAAGCAGAACAGTAGCAACCAACAGCTCTTTTTAGTTGTTATGGGTGTTGGAATGTTTATTTCTATGCGTTGTGATTGTTCATGAATGTGTAGTTTACAAACCGAGTTTTTGTGATTGGGAATTTGGAATGGATTTTGTGATTGTTAAGCAAGTACAAATTAAGTTCAAACTTTTGTTAAAAAAATTTTGATTCAAACTTTTGGTATTTATGGGTAATATGGGTACCCGTTATCCGTCCCATACGGATAATGGGTCCCCGTTTATTCAAACAGGTTAGGACATGAAATGGATTTGATCTCCAAACGGGATTGGTTAACTGTTTCAATTGGAATATTGGATCCAATTGTTAAAATCCATTAGTTGGGTGCTCTTACTTTAATATGCATTCTTAGGAGGGACGTATTTGTATAATCCCTTCCCTCCACATCTATATCCGAAGTCCGAACCAAATTCCCTCCCTTCGTCCCCCCACTTTCCCTCGTTTTCTGCTCTTCGTTTACCTTCATCCCTCCCGCTTTTTTCCCTTTTCTTTTCCATTTTCCTCGCTTCCAAACACCCGTTTCCCTAACCGGCCAGATCTCCACGACTCCACCGGATTCCAACTCCAATTCCCCACAATTCCAGTTCCCGCCATCGCTAACTGAACAATTTCCCCAAATCTCCTCCAACTTTGCCGGTCCTCTTCACTTCGTCGAGCACCACGGATGTCGAATTCCGAGCCTCCTACTGGTCCCGGAGCGACGCCGCCGCCGCCGAATCAACAGCGGCAGAGCACTCCCTCCACCGCCGTCTCGTCCCCGTCCTTTAATGTGCCGAAACGTCAGCTGGCCTTCTCTTCCGTGAAGCCGCCGTTCTCGTCTCCTGGCGACTATCATCGATTCACTACTGACCCTCGCCGCGCCGCTGATCAGGAGCCCGAGGGGATCGTCGTCAAATCGCCTGTAACTTATTCTTCTTCTTCTACTTGATTGCTTTTGTAATTCCACGAGTTCTTGATGTGTGTCCCCCGACGGCTTGTTTATGTGTTTTTAACGCTATTCTTCTCGATGGCGGGAGATCTGCTCCTTTTTTGGAATTCCTGCAATTGGTCAGTGAATTCGGGCTTTGTTCGAGGAGAACTTCCCTAGTTGCTTAGTGGTAGTTCTGTACTAAGTAAGGAGGCTATTTTGGAGCTTTATGAGTTAAGTTTAAGAGATTGAGTTAGCGCGATTCAATGGTGATGGCAGTAATTGTTGCTTACTGAACTACTGAAGTGACTTGAAGGAATGGAACCAGAACTTATGAGAATAGTTAAGGCAATGAAACTCCTATTATTGGGATAGTATGCTTCCGGTATTGTAAAGCTATTGAAAAATGGTTTGGAATTCTTCTCAAGATCGCTTCTGGTTTAGTTAAGATGGTACTTTGATGTCTTATGACAAAGTCGAGTGGTATGGAAAGATTGCTGTGCGTTAGCCATGTTTAATTCTCTCTTACTCTGACCTTAGCATAGCAAGTAGATTTATATCGATTTTGTTTACGAGTTTCTCTAGATTCTGAATATGAAATATCTATGTGCTTGCGGCTGTAGAGACTTTTGCATGAGAAGGTGGGGTTGCTTCAGTCTCTTATGTTCTTCCATGACTGGGAAAGCTGTTTGCATGCTGGGTACCTTGCTGAAATCGCTCAGATGCATTGAGTGGCACTTATAGGGGACATGACCTTTGGTTCTCAATGGATCCACTTTTTGTTCATAGTGATGGACCTGTGAACTGTTGTGTCAAGTGCTTATGGGATGTTCTTTCTCTGTAATGGTGTTCTCATTTTTCTGTATCTGCTGTCTTGTGTATTTCATCAGCCATTAAAACAGACGGGTGATACAGCAGCACACGAAACTGAGTCTAGCGACTGGAATATTACTTCTGCATACACTGAAGTTGCAAACACTCCCATTCGCACACCCTTGTCAGGTAAAGGTGGAAAAGCTCCTAAGGCTTCCAAGGGTTCAAGGAGCACTAAATCTGCACAGCAGAATGCCAATGCAAATATTGGTGAGTGAATAACCTCATGGTATCTTGGCAATTTGATCCAACAGTGGTTATGAGCATTAGGATCTATTACACAATTATTAATGCTCTGGATCCGTCCAGCTACTGAAGGAGGTGTTCCTCTTTGTGGTCTTACAGGTTCACCTGGCAATAATCTTACTCCAACTGGTCCTTGCCGTTACGACAGCTCTCTTGGTAACTTTCAGTACATCTGCCCATAATAGTTAGCTTCTACGACTCCTGATATCGCTAACTAACCTCCCTCCAAAAAATGATAAATTCTAGGTCTCTTAACTAAGAAATTCATCAATTTGTTCAAACATGCTGAAGATGGGATTCTCGATCTCAATAAAGCTGCTGACACTTTAGAGGTAATAATTTATTTTCTCACTGGTTGGACACTATTATTGAATTTGTGTATTAAAGTTTTCCATTACTGCAGGTTCAAAAAAGACGCATATATGACATAACAAATGTGCTGGAAGGAATTGGTATGATAGAAAAGAAGCTCAAGAACAGAATTCAATGGAAGTAAGGACCTCGACTCCTTGAGTGTCTTGCTCTATTCTCTCCTTATCCAGTTTCCAACCTATCTTCCGTCTCTGATCTTTTTTGTATTTTTTACACTGGAATGCAATCATGTTTTTCCATTATCGCAGGGGACTTGATGTCACACGCCCAGGAGAGACAGATGAGAGTGCGACTAGTTTGCAGGTGCGTAATGACCATTCCGTTGTCTGTGAACTAGTCGATAACTTTGGATATTAAAGAATTTATGTAACTAATGATTACAAATTGGATGAATATGCTTTCTGGCATGGAGTCAGTTGGGTTTAGCTGTTCTTTTATTTTTCTTCTACTAAGTAGCCGTCAAAGAGGGCCATGATTTCTACTTTGTGCTAGTTGCACCTAGATGGTTTGAAGCTTGTTGGATAATGTGCATGTTTTGCTGCCAATTTGTAGAACTTAGATTCTTTCATCTTGCTCAATCAATTGTTTTCTTAAGCAGGCAGAAGTTGAAAATCTCACAATTGAGGAACGCAACTTCGATGAGCGGATAAGGTTTTTTCATTGTCTTTTCAACAGTTTAATTTGTTTAGTTTCTGCTGCAACGTCTTGACATCTCTGATGGTTAGAAAACTTCTGTCAGGGAAATGCAAGAGAGGTTGACAGCCCTCAGTGAGGATGGCAACAATCAAAGGTATTCATATATCTTCCCCGGTTTCTATGTGTTTTGAAGCATATTGCATGATTTCAATTTGTTTTTGCCTTTTATTGGTTTCAGGTTTCTTTTTGTCACCGAGGATGATATCAAGACCTTACCTTGCTTCCAGGTTAGGAAGATTTGCATGAGTATTTTACGAGTTTCCAAGTCAATTCTCCATCAAGTCTTGTTCTTGTTTCAATATGCTGCTGCTTTTGGCAGAATGAAACACTAATAGCTATCAAAGCTCCACATGGTACTACATTGGAAGTTCCTGATCCTGACGAGGTAAATTGCTCAAGTACTTTAGAGAAAGATGTCTGTTTTGCTTCTGCAGAATTCTTCTTCAAAATCATCTCCTTTCTTCTACCACAGGCTGTTGACCATGCTCAGAGAAGATACAGGATCGTGGTCAGAAGTACAATGGGCCCAGTAGATGTCTATCTTGTCAGGTAACCCTTGCTTCGCAGCCTTCTATTGTTCCTGACAGTCAAATCGACATTCATAACTTGTGTGAGTCGCCTACTTCTGGGTTTGAATGTATGTATCAGCAAATTTGAAGAGAAGTTTGAGGAGATCCAGGGAGTTGAACCCCCAGCTCCTAGCCTTCCATCTACCTCTGGCGTAAACGATAATCCCGCGACTAGCACAGTGGTTAAAGAGGAGAGCAGTGAAGGAAAGGAGATTGCAGGAATGGAGGAGGGACATGATGTTCTTAACTCTGAACAGGATTTTTTCAGTGGCATCATGAAGATTGTTCCTAGTGATGCTGATGTGAGTATAGCAAATTTTATTGCAGAAGGAACTAAACTTCCGTTGATTTATTAGGGGTAGAGATTGACGTTTCTTGCTTTGCTATTTGGTTATGCAGAGTGATGCAGATTACTGGCTTTTGTCGGACGCCGGTGTTAGCATCACAGACATATGGCGAACTGATCGTATCCTTTATAATAACTAGAATTTCTTACCTTCAGTCTACATAAACTTATACTCTAGCAACTGCTATCATGCTTTAGGCTCATGAAATTATGTTAAATCCTTCACTCACGAGTAGCCGGGCTTGAATGGAACGAGCTTGGTGGACTCCATGATGACTATGGCATTTCAGGTATCAGCAGCAGCATGCCAGCAAATCCTCAAACTCCTCCTCCTTCCAATCCAACCACAGAACCGCCACCTTCTGCTGCAAACGCCACACCACGGTGAAACTATGTCACTCTGCTCCTAGATATCACATCACTGTAAAGAGAAGAAACTGCTGCAGAACGCGCCCAGTGGCAGCCTGTGTTCAATGTACAGCGGAAGGAAGCAAAAATGTCTGTGAATTGATTCATGTCTAGTTAGCTAATAAGGAGATGGCTCCTTTCCACTCTGTGTACATTCCTTGATCCGTAGCCTGCACCTTGTATTCCTATTCCCCCGTCGTATTGTCTGCTTAGTTAAATCTCATAATCGTGTCAAGATTTATAGATGCAAGAGCTACTAGATGTAAGATACCGTCATCTGTAGAGCAGCTGGATTCCGGATCATGTAAATTTGTATCTCAATACAGAGCATTATGTACTGTTACATCAGATGTTTTGTTCTACTTTTCTGCTTCTTTTTGGTCAGCCTTCTTCCCAATCCAGCCGGCGACGATCGGAGTAAGCGCCACTGTCGGAGGGAACCTGATCGGAGATGCAGCTTTGTGTGCAGCATAAGCCAAGGCAAAGGCCCCAACTTTCTCTCCCGTGGCATCCGTGGAAATCCCCACCTGCAGAAAAAGTAAGCAAGGTGAGTAGAGGTTTATTAAGCTAAAGCAATTTAGGGTTTTTTGGGTTATGAAAATTTTGAAACCTTCTGCAGCAGAGCTTGAACGTCGACGCCGGCGTTGACGAGAGCGTAGCAGAGGGAGAAGGAGATGATGGAGAGGGTTATCGATGTGGCCAAGTAAGCTCCGCCATATTTGGTAAGCAGTTCTTTAGCTTGGTCTCCCTTTGATTTCTCCTGCGCGCCACCATCTACAGTTTTTTTCTCATCCTTGGAGCTGAATATATTCCACAGTCCCGCTTCGAGGCCGTACTTCTGTGTAATTTCTTCTGGGGAGGAAGGTGGAGGAGGTGGGGTTTTGAGTTCAGCTTTTTCTCGGGTAGCTCGGATTCTGAATCGGGTAGAGATGGATTTGGGAGGTATTAGAGAAGCTGTGGTGGTGCAGTTTATGGTGCCGAAGAGAGTCGAAGATGCAGCAGAGGTTTGCAGAGCTGCTGACATTGTCGCAACTGAAGAAAGGTTAGCTTCTTTTTACTCCCCGATATATAATAGATAAGTGTTCCAGCTTACATAACGGATTTTTGCATTCCCCCCTTTGGGCTGTGTTCTTATGTTGGAGATGGTAAAAGTGCAGTGAATGGTGGCCAGATTGTGTTCAGAAGTTTGGTTAAGTGAGGCTTCTTAGGAGTTAGGAGTAGTAACTTCTTGTGTGGGTTATAGAAGCCCACTCACTCGCATTAGCCGGTTTCTTTATGGACCGGATATGGGGCGTCCGGCCCACTTGGTTTACTAGAAGTGCAGGAGTCTAGGAGAGATTCACTTGGTTTCATTTGGCCTGTTAGTGCATTAGTGGAACTGTGGAAGAGAGGAGAACAAGAAACATAGACACAGTCATACAGATAGCAAGAAGCCAAGAAGAAAGATTATTAGGGATGACAATTTCGACCTGACCCGTTTTATCTGACATGTTTGGTCTGTTTTGGGACGGGCATGGGTACTCTCATCGATCCGACCTGCTCTGACCCACCCTATTCTCAATCCGTCAACACCCTATTCTCAATCCGTTAACTACATTTATCATAATATTGTTTGTTTCCTTGGTCTTGTAATACAAAGAACGCATATTTCTAATGTTTTTCATATAAATTGCATATTCATTGGGTCGACATGCCCCGACCCATAACCCGTGATAAATTACCCGACTTGGATCCGAGGCGGGTCTAGGTACCAAGAAACCCGCGCCGGACCTGCCCAGTGCCATTCCTAAGATTGATATGCTCGCGTGTCTTTCTTGGCCGGCGTTCTCATATCATATATATTGCCACCGTTTCGTTGGTTTTTTTGTTTGTTGTTGTTCGCTAGGCGGATGCGGCCATCTTCAATTATTATCAGTAAATCACTCTTTACGTTACTTATGAATCCAACATGCATGAGGACATGTGATATTAGTTATACATGGACAACAGTCCTATAACAAAAGTCGTGGAATCTGATATTATTGTATGATAAGCGTCTTTGGGTACAGGCTAACATCAAGGCGTTTGTAGTCCAACGGTTAGGATAATTGCCTTCCAAGCAATAGACCCGGGTTCGACTCCCGGCAGACGCATTTTGTTTTCTATTTTTTTATCAATCGGCTAAATCTGGCCTCTGTGGAAAGAAGTGATCTATCAATCGGCTAATCGGCTAAATCTGGCCTCTGTGGAAAGAAGTGATCTATCAATCGACTAATAAGGCGTTATCTGGCCTCTGTGGAAAGAAGTGATCTATCAATCGGCTAATCGGCTAAATCTGGCCTCTGTGGAAAGAAGTGATCTATCAATCGACTAATAAGGCGTTATCTGGCCTCTGTGGAAAGAAGTGATCTATCAATCGGCTAATCGGCTAAATCTGGCCTCTGTGGAAAGAAGTGATCTATCAATCGACTAATAAGGCGTTTAATGACAGTTCCATCGATCACTTTATTGTGAAAGACCATATTGGCCCGTTCGGCCATAAGTACCTCCATATTCGGCTGAGTGGGATTTGACAATGGATTTGAGTCAATCGACTAATAAGGCGTTTAATGGCAGTCCCATCTATCACTTTATTGTGAAAGACCAGATTGGCCGGTTCGGCCATAAGTACCTCCATATTCGGCTGAGTGGGATTTGACAATGGATTTGAGTCAATGCTTGGAAAACTTCCTTTTCTCGATCTTGATTCGCATAGAAATTCGGGAATTTAAGAACTATGGTCCTAGCCGAACTGAGGAGATCTGAATTCACACCGGTCTGCTAGAATTACTGGGGAAAAAAACAGTTTTATCAGTTTCGGCAGACGCATTTTGTTTTCTATTTTTTTATCATGGGCTAAATCTGGCCTCTGTGGAAAGAAGTGATCTATCAATCGGCTAATAAGGCGTTTAATGGCAGTCCCATCTATCACTTTATTGTGAAAGACCAGATTGGCCCGTTCGGCCATAAGTACCTCCATATTCGGCTGAGTGGGGTTTGACAATGGATTTGAGTCAATGATTGGAAAACTTCCTTTTCTTGATCTTGATTCGCATAGAAATTCGGGAATTTAAGAACTATGGTCCTAGCCGAACTGAGGAGATCTGAATTCACACAGGTCTGCTAGAATTACTGGGGAAAAAAAAACAGTTTTATCAGTTTCACTGGGAATGTACAGTGTACACAGTATTCCAGTTGGTAACTTCTCTTATCTACACACCACCAAGTTGATTGTCCGCGCGTACGGGGATTTTTTAGGGATTCGATGACCCAGATGATGTTGGAGAATGGGATTTACAGCCGGAGCGGGCTGGAAGAGCTGCTGAAGCGACTCCTGAAGCTCAATTCCCCCCTGTTACCATGCCGTCATCATCGTTGAGAATAATTCAGGAGGGCAGATGAGGGTATTGTATCTGATGGACTTATTGGCCAAAAAAAAAGGATAAAGATAGGTCGAGGGATCTTATTAAGTTTGCTTTCTGTAATGAGGCAGCACTAGTATAAGTATTACACGCAGGGAGATGGCAATTAGGAGCTGCAAACACACCAACTAAAGCTGTAAAACACAACAAACAGACAGACAGACAGACAGACAGACAGAGAGGATGCCTGGAACATGAACAATTTGGAAGAAGTTTTGCAGATTGTTCAGTCAACAGAGACTGGCTGCATGTTCTCAGCTTCTTTCCTCAGCTCTTGGAACAGCACCGACGACAAGTACCTCTCCCCGAAGCTTGCATGGATCGTCTGATCATAACACACAGGAAACAGACTTCTCATCAGTAGATTGATAGGGTGGAGAATTCTTTCTTCTATATATGTTTTTTTTTTTTTTTCACAAGCAAGCGTTCTTACCACAATAAGCTTCCCCTTGTTCTCTGGCAGCTGTGCCAGTTTAAGTGCCGCCACTGTATTAGCTCCAGATGAGATGCCGACCTGCAACAGATTTTTTATCAAAATCACAAGTTGGGGGGAGGAAGTAAATGTTTTGATAAAATTGACACAAGCCATTCATTCATTACCATGAGCCCCTCCTCCACGGCCAGTCTCCTAGCCATGTTCACTGCATCTTCGCTGCTAACCTGAAACCAAAGTTGGTGCATTCATGAGGATTGGACCTCTGAAAGGTTAACATTTAGTTTCCTTAATTATCTGTGACAGTCCTATGTTACCTCAATAACCTTCTCCATCACGTCCATGTCCAATATATCAGGTTTGAACCCTACTCCATTTCCCGTAATCTGGTGAGGACCTATTTTCAATGACCACAAAAATGAAAAACCATCAGGAACAGACAGGAGCTTCTTCCAATTCACGAGTGAGAATATTTCTTCTTCTCTATACGACTATACCTGGTTTGCCACCATTCAGAATGTTGCTTTCTGCAGGCTCAACTCCATAAATCTGCCATGAAAACCCCAACCATAATCACTGCACTCATTTCATAGCAAAAAAGGTGACCAGTAGACTGAGTGTATAGAGTACCTTGACATTAGGGTTCTGTGATTTCAGATACTGTCCAACACCAGAGACAGTCCCTCCGCTGCCAATGCCCATCACAAAGATGTCCACTTGTCCCAGTGTGTCTTCCCAAATTTCAGGACCCGTGGTGTCAAAATGGATCTGTTTCCCCACCACCCATCTCATTTATGTCAGACATTGATCCAACAAATAAAAGCAAGATATGTGCAAAAGCGAGCTTGTATAGCGACCTTAGTGTTGGCAGGATTGGAGAATTGTTGAAGCATGAATGCATCTGGAGTAGACTCCAAAAGATCATACGCCTTCTTCACTGTTCCCCCCATTCCTTTAGTTGGATCGGTAAGAATGAGCTCGGCTCCAAATGCTCTCATACATACCCTTCTCTCCATGCTTGTGTAAGACGGCATGGTCAGAACCATCTTGTACCCTTTCATTGCTGCCATGAACGCCATGCTGATGCCCATGTTTCCAGAAGTTGGCTCTATCAGGGTAGTCTGTTGCAAAGCCAGACACATATATATGCAATGACATAAGTCCGAGTTTCTCTACGTACTTCAAAAGAAGAGAAAGGCAGCAATCACAAAAAGTAGCCATCTCTGGAATCCGAACTAACTAACCTTTCCTGGAGAAATCAAGTTTTTAGCTTCTGCATCTGCAAACATTGAGAATGCTGGTCTGTACAACATAAAGAATAACAAGAGAAAAAGTGGGTTTTTGGTCGACCTCCATCACAAAAGGTCTACTATTTCATGGAGGATACATGGGGGGAAATTGTATTATGTAAACCTGTCCTTAACGCTAGATGTTGGCTGAAACATTTCTTGCTTGGCAGCAATGTAAGCTCCACAACCTTCAGTCACTTGGTTGAGGAACACAAGGGGAGTTCTCCCAATAAGCTGAAAAATTCAGTAAACCACCTTCTATTTTAGATACAAATTTAATAGACTTATTTTCACAGAAATGTATCAGATTGTGTTGTTTAATAAAAGTTCCGAGCCTTAGAAATTCAGCAATGAGATGTTTGTTAGCAGTTGGCCGCTAAATCACTGAACGAACTCTGATATAAGTGGTTCATTGATTTAACTTTTGAATAGAAAATACTGAAATTTTAAAAATTATTACTGGATGCAGAAACATGAAAAATCAACAGTCCTTATTTTGTTTTCTCCCCCTCTATTTCCTCTTCATTGTGATTCCCACCCAGTTCTTTCATCAACTCTTTTTCTTCATCTTTCTTCATTTCCAGTTTTGTCTTCTCCTCTCAATCCTAGCTAGTTTATTATATGAACAATTCTATAGGCAACTCAATATTGATTTTATCTCCATTTTGAAGATAAGGATTTCCAAGTGAAATAAAACTACTTACCAATTGAAAAATTGGGGAAAAGGATGAAAAACACAAGGAGGATAAATATTAGGATTAATACTTAATTCCCTATTCTGCCCAAACTTTCAATAATCACAAATAGTCAAATATGACCAAATTCTCAACATAATGGACAACATTAGCCTGATTTTTAGGCTGATCGTCAATATAAGTGGTATTTCAGGAAATTTGGATATTATTGGCACAATCGTAAAAGTTTTGGATATACAAGTGTATTAAACGAAATATTATTTCAATATATTGGTGTGGCTGCGGAGCCACTAAATCCAGATAAAAAAAATGAGGCTTTTCTCTCAACTCTGTCTCTGTGTACATCTGAATTCCTTTTATGCCATATTTCCAAATTTGTTTTTGCTAAAAAAAACCACTTTGTTGTCGCTTTATTTACACTTTCATCATTTTTGGCAAGTTGCTTACCTTGATAGCTAAAAATCATCCTAATAAAAATCATTTTTATTGGACCCAATATAAATATTAAATAGACTTTCATGTGTGGAGATCGACGCAGCACCACACTACAACTTTAGAAAAAGAAAGGATATTCACATCACATCTCTCGTATCCAAAAAAAATATAGATTAAGAAATCGTTTGGACCAAGAAAAATCTGAGTGATGAAAATAAATTAACAGATTTTACTGTCTGAATAAACAAAATTTACGTATCCAAATGCAAAATTCACTGTCTGAATTCTTCACTACAGGTATTTACAGTATCGAATTGAAGGCAAATTAGCTGCTGCAATCAAAATCGAAGAGCTCCGGCCAGCTGCTGCAAAGAGAGATAGCGCGCGCGAGCGAGAGGAAGAGGAAGAAAGCAATACCTTGGAAGCGTCGGGTTTGATTTGAGTGCCGGGGAGATGTTTGGGCAGATCTCTGAGCCTCTGGGCGAAGGAAGAAGAGGAGGGGGAACCGGCGGCCGCCTCCGTCGACATCTTCTCCACGCTCCGGAGCAGCTGCGGCTGGTACTGGTGAGCCGATCGTCTCCCTAGGAAGCTCCTCAAAGCGGCCGCCATTGATGGAGGGAAGAGGAGCGGCTAAGCTGCTCTGTTTGTTTGGGGGAAAGGAAAAATGCAGAGAAGATTGTGTGAGAGAGTGACTGATGAGTGAGTGTGGACGCCCCTCTTTAAATAAATTCAGCTTTTCGATTTTTCAAAAGTTTCTTCCAGAAAAAAAAAAAAAAAAAAAAGAGGAAAATCTGATTTTACCATTCCACCCTTCCTTCAATAATTTTACCGGTGCTAAAAGCCTTGAAGACAGTGTACATGGATCCAAAACGTTTGATTGCTAAAGGATTTGGTTAGTTGATTGAACCCACCAAGAAAACGAAATGGCATATTGGTGTTGTTTTCAGCCGATCAGAACTTAATGCTCAAATTGTTTAAATAATACCCTGATTAGCACGGTGATGTTTTAATATATCGCCCACTAAGCAATCGGGTTGTTTAACGTTGTCAACTTGTCATCGATCTTTCTTTCAAAAGGAAATTTGAGGGTGCAAGTTGGTTAGATAGTACGTAATTTGATGTGCAATATATCACACTAGCTGAAAGAGTTATTGTCGCTGTGACTGTGAGGGAGATAAATCTGTACAATAACACTCTACATCAACATTACTGATGGACGACCCAAAATTTTGACCATCATTGGTTGCTTGATGTATTGGTTAATTTTATTCCACCAAGCGATAAATATTCACTTCCCACCACTTATATGTGTTTATGAGAAATATATAAGGTAAGTTTTGTTCTTCTTTCTTCTATAATTTATTTGTTTGCTACTTTTTATTTACACTCGCTTGCACTTAATTTGATCGGTTGGTGGTGATTTGATTTTTTTACACCCAACCATTCATTGCACATTGGGTGGTTGGAAGATAAATATATTTTTATATTCTTCACACGTCATTCACGCCAAAAGCAGGAGGCAGCTTTAAATAGGACGCTTATTTATACTTTCTCGGCAGTTCATTTCAAATTGAGTGTGTGGGGGAGTTAAATTTGTACAATAACACTCTACATTAACATTGTCTTAAAAAAGAGCTGCCCACCTCGTGGTAAAAAAGACTCTTTTATTGGGAGTCTGGTCGCATATGAACTATCAGTCTTTATTATTATGTCTTATAATTTCGTTGTTCGGTCATGCCGTGTGAGCTTATTTTGGATAAATTTAAAAAAAAACTATCTTGAAAAAATTATAGTTTAGTTTGGTACTAGTTGTTACTGTTAGAACGGAACGATAAAATGACAATGCGAAATAAGTAAAGAAAACGTAGCTTTAAGTGATTTCCTAACATGATGTATGTTACCTAATTCACGCACACGAAAATTTACAGAGGTTGAGAAGACATATATAAAAACAGCTTCTCCTGATAACCTAACCCCTAATTCAACATGAAAAGAAAAATGTTACAACAAGCCGGGGGGAAAAAAAACAAATGTGTATATAAACTCATACACCATGAAGATAATCTGACTTCAAGTGATAACTATCGTAGTAGACTAGTAGTGTTACTGCTACAAACGAGACGAGTTAGAAGAACCAGTAAATATCTCTACGAAGTCTTCAACTATGTAGCACCAGTTTTCCTTTGTGTTCATCTTCAAGTACCATATTATAACAACTCTGCTACCTCTTCCGTCGACCAATCTAGCTCTAACGCCTCCACCATTTCCACCACCATGCAGTTCGGGACAGGAAGCTTGGTCGCCTCGAGTATCGACCTTGTGGCGCCTGCAATCTCGAACACTAGCCTTTCCCACGATCTCGAGTAGTCGTGAAAGCAATGATCTGCAAGAAACTTGGGCTAGCTCTTGATGCAGAATCTGTTAGTAAAAGGTATATGATCCACGATTAAACCTCTCTCAACAATTCGAGTTATTGGGACCAACTGGGTCTTGATATGATATCAGAGCCTTCTGTGACCTTGAGGCCTCCTGTTTGAATCCCGATGACCCCCATCTGTTTCTGTTAAGCACATGGTGTTTGGACCTGTGCCCATGCAAACTCCAAGCACTCGAGTTATTGGTACTACCAACTGGTTCTTGACATAATATCATATTCATAGTCGTAGAAGGAGATGGTTTGGCAAATTAAATGGTTCATGAAGTACTTTTGAGTGGCAAAGTGTGTCAACACTAGGGTGGACTTTTTTTTTAAGTCTGAAAATCAATTTGGTCGAGCTTGTCCATGAAAGGCAGCTGAAAGATTTTTTATATAGGTGTATTGTAGGTAATGTATGTTTCCGTCAAGTGATTAGGGCAGCAATGTTATTTATTTGCTTGTACGAAAAGGACTCTTGATTTAGACAAGTTAGAGGGTGATTGAATTGGCATGAATTCATGTTAGTTCGTAAGTATGATAATGTGGTAAAAGAGTATCTTCTCTATCAACATAATGGAGGATGTTGACCCCATACGTTTAATACTATTTGAATCTTATGAATATTTGTCAACTTTGTAAGAGTCATGTTATTCAGATATTTTTAATAAAGCCTATTTAAATTTGACAGGGGGCCAAGTTTTTTCACCACAAAACAAATGATCTGATCTTTTCAAAAGCATATCAAATGAATCAATTCAATTCAAGTCGGAATTAATCAATCAATTAAACTGTGTGTATATATATTTATCAAAAGGCCTCTAGCCCATACAACACCCCCGCATGCTTTTCCGGCCCATCCTTAACAAAGAACACATCCCTCATCTTCTGAAACGCGTGCCAAGTCAGCAAGCTATCCGACCCGGCCTGGTGACACTTCCCCACGGCCCGGCCCACCTCCAGCGTCCGCGCCACCCGGTCCAGCCCACCATACAAGCTATCACAGAACCTCATCATATGCTTCACGTCATAAACCCGCCGCCCAAAAAACACCCGCAAAAGGCCCAAGAACTCCTCCAGCCCGCCGGGCAGCGACCTCCGGGTCAGGATCTTGACCAGGTACCCGAAATCGTACGCGCTGTGGAACGTCACCCAGCTGACCGACTCATTACAGACCAAACCGGACGCCATCATCAGCTCGGCGAACCGACCCGAGTCAACTCCTTCGGCCCTGTTCCTCGCGAAATCGATCCCCTGCCGCCTCAGCAGCTCGATGGAGTCCGGCGCGTGGGAGTCGCGATCCACGTCGAAGTCCCTGAAATTGAACTCCCAGATGAACCTCTGCGCCGCTCCGGTGCCCAGATCCGGCAGGTTGCCGTCGGAGTCGGAGAGGGTGAGGCCGACCTGGATGAGATTGAGCGCGTCCACGTTGGATTTCAGGAGCTTGTAGTGGTCGGAGGGGTTTCGGTGGCGGTAGGAGGAGTGGTTGTTGTTGAACGGCTTGAAGACGACGCCCGGGAACTCGGTGTCCATGGAGATGAAAGGGAACTCGTCGATTGCGGCGCGGATGAGGTCGAATTCGGATTCCAGGTTGGAGGCCCAGACTTCCCTGATGACGATCGGCGGCGGCGACGGAGGAGGAGGAGTGGTGGAGAGCTTGGTCATTGCGGCGGTATGGGAAATGATTTGAGGCTGAGAATTGGGAGTGCGGTGGTGGAGGAATTGGGGGGAATTAGGGTTTTATATTAGAGGGGAAGAGTGGGAGGTTGCTTGGAAAGAGGGGGAAGAATGGGGGCGTGGGGGGAAAGCGGGGAAATGGTGGGGAGTTTTTTTTAATTATTAGTTGTTAATAGAATAGTAATAGTAATGATATAATTAATTATTAATTATTGGGAGGGGGAGTGGAATTTGATTCAATGGATGGAGTTTCAATTTCAACGCGCTGGGGAATTTGACTGGGGAAAGGGTCGTGGTGGCGGCTGCAGTCGCCTAGTCGTAACGGATGGGGCAAATTAAATCAAAGACCAGTGTGAGTTAGGAAATATATATGTACCCGCACATGTATGAATACAAGTGGGAGAAAGAAACAAAATGGTTTGTGTAGTACATTTTGTACAAGGAGTTCTGGTAGGATGAGGAGTAGTGAGTTTTCTTCTTAGTTTGTCTAATCAACTCATGGACACTAATGTGAATTATGTTGTTTCTACCCAAAAAAAATGTTGTTATTATTTCATCGCAGAAACCCCGGCAATAACCTCTGTAGTTTCATCCCCTCCCTACGAAGGCCAGCACAACCATCCCTCCCTTCCACCCTCCGCCGCCGCCGCAATGTTTTTCCAGTACTCAACTAGGCCTACCAAAGCTCGCTGCTGCTAGGGAGGAAACAGGACAAGCCGAAGTGCCACACCATCTTCGTCAAAAGGGTCCTTGAGCTCTCGATCTCATTGCCACTACTGATGCAGTTGCAGTGATGATCCGCGAGCATGGAGGTCCTCTTCTAGTCTCCAAACGTTTAACGCCGATGGGCCAGTTTAATTTGGACGAGATCTAAAGATGCCGTTTTGGCTTTTGAGGTGATTTATTCCCTTTGATTACGACGTATATCGTCGGATTGTTCCTCTGCGAACTTTGGAACGGCGGGGATGCCTTGGTTGCAGGGTTGTTGCCGGTTGGAGTTCCTCTGCTCATCTGTTCCTTCATTTTCTTTATGAAACCAATGCATTCGGACCGTGGCTTCAAAAGGTCTCTCAGAAAGTCTTCTTTTATAGACTACCTCTACCAACGTTGCTAGTTGGGACGAACCCTCGTCGATCGAAAGGCTCTGTCCTTTCAAGTTCTCATGGTTGGAGTTCACCGAGGGTGGCAGACGGGATGCAGTTGATGTGGTCGGAGCCAGCTCCGGTGGCTTTCGCTGCCTTTGGCCATTTCAAACGATGACATCAATGATTGTTTTGATGAAATTAATCAACAAATTAATGGTGGGTTTAATTCTCCTTACTGCCACCAATTAAACTTTCCGTTAGTTTTTTAGACTTTATAAGAGCTTTTATTGTGGTTTCTCTTTTATTGCTTGTTAGCCTAACCCTTTGTATTGTGGGATACGATGTGGTTTTAATTTTTAAACAAGTGGTTTTTGGAAGCATCAATCGGATGAAACCCTTCGTGGAGATGGAGAAGTCTACTCTTTGGAAGAGACCTGCTCCTACAGGGACTAAGATTGCAAATAGACGATGGGCAAAGAACTCGGACATTCATTGATAACTGGGTTCCGGGGGATAAACCCTTAACCCCGAGTACCCGACCCCATACTCATAATGGATCACCTATGGTATCTTATTTCATAAAAGAAGGCCAAGGGGAATGAGACGTACCAAAACTCCAGACTTGCTTTGAACCTCAATATGTTGATCTCATCAGGAGAATTCCTCTTCCTCATTACTCACAACAAGACATTAGAGTGTGCACTATTCCAAGGATGAAAAATACACAGTCAAATCGGCTTATCACTCAGCTCTGGAAATAACATTGGCATCAAGCCGAAACCGATAGTACATATCATCGACCCTCCTATTTGGAAAAAAATACTTGGAATATCCAAGTCCCGCCTAAGCTCAAATTCTTCATATGCAATGCCTCAAAGTCATACTTCCCACAGTAGCGACCCTTCAAACTCGTTGAGTAAACTGCCTTAACCGATGCCCTGTCTACTGGAGACATCGAGAAAGCATTGAACATTTATTCTTCAGATGCCCCCTAGCCATCAGATTGTGGACTTTAGTGGGATTGAGCAACTTTATTGAGACCGCCCAGACTGTTAACTTTAATCTATGGTGGCGACATGTCATGGTCTCTGAGACCTCCCCATTCCACATTCTCCAATGCGTCTGTTAACTTTGGAGAATCTGGAAGTTTAGTAATAAAGTGACCTTCGAATTTTTCCAACCTCATGTCCGTTCCCTAGCCAGACATTTCTACAACCAGGTCCTCGAAGTCTCCAATCTTCTCCTTCCTCCTCCATCCCGCATATCTCTACTCCCAATCCATCCTGCCACCACTTGGGTCCCTCCGCCAGAAGACTTTGTGAAGTTCAACTTCGACGCTGCTATTTGTGCTACCGGGTGTTCGTCTAGGCTTGCTTTCCGTGGGTCAGACCGGGCATGTGGTGTTGGCGTTCGGGCTGCAGCATCAATGAATAGTCAATCCTTACCTGGCAGAGCTTCTAGCCTTTAGAGACGCTTTCTCCATCGTAGCCTCAAGATCCTTGACCCGCGTGATAGTCGATGGTGATTCCGAAGTGGTCGTCAACCAAGTCCGTCAAGACGTCATAGAAGTCTCGATTGATGGTCCGGTGTAACGAGAGTGTCATCAGATCCTTAGCTTTTTGTCTGTTTGTATAGAGTTTAGGGCGGTACCTAGGTCCGCCAACAGTGTTGTCCATAGAGTGGCGAGTACAACACTGCTTTTGTCTCGTTTAGAGCTAGAATCTTTTGATTTTTTGGGGTGGCTTCTTTAGAGTCTTTTAGGGGTCTTGGGTAGAATTGTAAGTTTAACTATTTTCCTTCATTGATATCACTCAGAAATAAAAAAAAGTTAAGAGTCACTTTTTTTTGTTGCGGGAATGAAAGGGTTGAAAAGGTATATATGAGAAGGACCGAGGAGAGGTACTAGCTGCTATAGTACGAGGGATGGTCGTTTTCAATCCGATCAAATTCAATTATAAACAAATCGCAGGGTTCTAAACTTTTTAGGATGAGTTTGAATTTAGTATTTTCAAAACTGTAATGTATGAGTCGAGTGATTAAAATAATCAAATCCAAACCAACCGAACCATGTACACTCTAATACTAATGCAACATATGGAGTTAAAACAATTTCGTAATTACTAATCTTTCTTCTCTCTCTAAATCTTTTTCTTTGGTTTTTTATTTGCTCTTCCTGTTGGCTGTTTGTTGGGGAGAGTGGGTAGGGTTGGGTTCTACAAGTTGGTTCACCTGGACACATGAGCTGCTGGGATCTTTCTAGACCATTTTCAATGTACCTGGGCTTTTGTCAGTTTCTCCTCCTTTCATTTTTCACATAAAAATTAAATAAAGTCCAATGCATCATCTTTAGCCTCTGAAATAAGTTCATCAACCATTTTCAGTACTTGACTATAGAGAGTTAAAATTACATGTAGTTTATGAGAAACTAGTAATCGATTTGAGGGTTCGAATCAGTGGCAGATTTAGGCGTGACCTCTCTAGTTACAGCGCCCAGCCTCCTTCTGACCTAAAACTACAGTATAACAAATGAAATGTGCTTGTTTCCACTTCTTTCTATCTTCTTCGACCCGATATGAATCTGTATCTAATTTTCTATTTAAATATGGCTTAATACTCTTATACTCTACTTATATCTTGAACCGTCGCGCTTAGTATACGAGACTAACATGGCAAAAAGACGACAGAACATATTTTGTTGGGTTCAATTGTTGAGGTTAATATGAGTGCAAGCTGCAGCAGCACCCTATACTAACACGTGGAAATAATGCGTCTATGCCAGCCTATTACACAATATATTATTTTTATAGATTCCACCTCAATTAGGGAATTGGGCAGTGTGGTTGCGCTGTTAAGTAAAAGCATGCAGTTGCTGGAATATAATAGTATAAGAAAAGTCGTAACAGGAAATAGCGTTCACTGGTCTTTGGTTTGGTGGTTATAAACTTATAGGCCAAGTGGAATGTTCAACGAAATCATCAATCAAAATATCCACTTGCTTAAGTAAATATATAAATAAAGCGATATTGAATTTTAACCGAAGCAATCAAAACAAATGAACCAAACATGCTGGATTTGATTCTGGTTTTTCATTTTTCTTATATTTTTTTATCCGATCATATCTCAATTCGATCCGAGTCGGTACGAAATGGATTCCCGGGCTCAGAAGATCACACATTATTCTTCCTCAAAATTGACAAGTCATAGTTTTTCACTAGCTAGCTACTACATTTCACTTTGGAGAGTTGATGGTGGCGTGGCGGGGCAAAGGAAGTTTTTGAACCAGTACGCGGAAGCCTTGAGATACCTCTTCAAATTGTCGTTAAAATCCACGTAAGTCATCCCAAAACGCACCGTGTAACCGCCATTCCACTCGAAGTCATCAAAGAAGCACCACATGTAGTAACCCTTTACGTTGGCCCCGCCCCTACAACAATACAAACCAACACCACACCAGGTTGTCAAACCGGCTTGTGCCAGTATGCTGGTTTAGCAAGTGGAATGGTTCGATTGGTGGTACATACCGGTTTGTACCAGTTCATGCCGGTTAATATTACAAAGAATTTACAAATACTCATATTTAAGCACGGCATTTAACGTCAATACCTAAATATTTGTACTTGAATCCAACAAATAACATCAACATTTAACTTTTTAACACATAAAATAAATAATAAATTACTTTTTATCAAATAAATTCACTAATATAAGATCATTTTGCTTACAGATTCGTATATCGATCATGCCGGTTATACCGGTGGTGTCATACCGATTTTATGACCGGTACAGGTTGAATCAGGTTCAACCAGTGTCACGCCGGCTGGCGGCATGACAACCATGCAAACCACACCACTCGTTGTTTAACGTTGCGGGCAATATTATTGATTAACGATTAATCCATTAACTTAAAATCATTAGAGACAAATAGAGTATATATACTCACTTAACCGCACTCAACAAAGATTGAAGATGGTCATTGTGGTACTTTATTCTGAGAGTATCATTGAGCGCCATTTCCAACGACAATGAGCTTTGGTCAGCCATTCCTGCGTATAATTAAACACACCCGCAAAAAAGAGTGGATTATGCAATAATAAATAAAATTAAAAAGGCCAACACGGATGATTTAGTTAACTTAACTGTGATAATTACTAGTCATTACAATCTTACCATTCTCAGTGATATAAACCGGTAGATTATTGTACTTGTTCTTGATATGGAGCAAAAGCTTCTTGAATCCCTTTGGACATATGAACAGCCAATCTACAGCAGTCTGCATCCATAATTAACATATGAATTAAACATAAGAACATAAATTAGGCTACTATATAATAAGTAACCAAAAATCAATTGAATATTATATGCGACATACCGGAGTGCCTATTGGGACGCCGTCCTTTTCAGCTGCATAAATATATATGATACATCATCAGTGGAACATGAATTTCAGAAATATATATATAACAAAATAAATGACAAAAATTGATCTGTGGCGACAGTATACGCGGTAAAGAGTTGTATAAAATACATAATAATCTTCCATCGACGACTCGAGTTATTGGTTTTTGACATATACGTACTGGATTGAATGGCACGACTATCCGTAGAATAGCTAGGATTGGTCGCCGCGAAAATTCGAGTCGTCGGGGGCGCGTCCTCGGCATAATACATGGTGTAGTAATTCACCCCCAAGAAATCAATGGACCCTTTCACCATGTCAGCTTGTTCCTCAGTGAACCTCGGGAGCCGGTCCCCCACGAGGGACCGCATGCTCTCGGGGTACTCCCCGTTCGCGATCGGGTGGGCGAACCACCCGAACATGAAGTCCAGTGCCCTCCGAGCCGCCATTTGGCTCGAGGGCAGGGTGCGGTACTTGGGTTCGAACCAATGGGTGGTCGTCGTGATCCCGATCTCTCCCTTTTGTTTCTGCTTGTATTTCTTCCGGTACAGTTTCACAATCTTTGCGTGGCTCAGCAGGAAGTGGTGGCCCGCCACGTACGGCTCGATGGACGAGTCGCCGCAGGGGACGGCGCAGCCGGTGGTGGTCCCCATCCATTGGGAGCACCGGCCGGGTGCGAACGAGCCGAAGTCGTACGCTCGCATGGCGTACATGTTCGGCTCGTTGATGGTCACCCATTTCTTCACCCTGTCTCCGAATGTCTCGAAGCAGAAGTCCGCGTATGCCACGAAATCGTCCCTATAGGGCACATCAGTAATTAATTAGTTACAAACTACGTAATTAATTTTGAAGCCTGATGATTGATAATTGACTTACACGAATCTAGGGCTTAGAGGGCCACCGTATTCATCCTCCAGAGCTTGGGGTGGGTCGAAGTGGAGGAGCGTGACAAATGGTTTTATACCTAAAAATTAATCAATAATGTAATAGATTAATATCCCAGTATTAAATAATCATCGATACTATAATTAAGTATTTATCTTTGTAGAATACAACTCACCGTTGGAGAGAAGTTCGTTGATAAGGTCGTTGTAGAACTTGACGCCAAGTTGGTTCACTCCTCCGGTGAGCTTGCCGTCTGAAGATATAAGTACGTGAACTTAATTTAGTTCATAGATTACTAAACGGTAAGTGAAAAAAAATAAGAATTCTTAATAATAATTAGGGCTTGTGATTAAGGAGTGATATGTTGGGACGTTATTAAGTAATAATTATACTTGGGAAGATTCGGGTCCAGGAGATGGAAAATCTGAAGGAGTCCAAACCAATGGTCTTCATCAGTTGAATGTCCTCCTGCATATTCATGCATGCATTAAGCTCATCAATTAATATAATTAATTACACTTTACCAAAAAAAAAAAAAGAGATCAATACAATTAAGTTTGGATTTTGGAAGAGTATAAATATACGTATGTATTTATTGTAGGGTACGTACCTTGAATCTGTGGTAGAAATCGTCGGCTATGTCTCCAGTACTACCATTCATTATCTTCTCTGTTGTATTATTATTATATATAATAATAAAAAAAATTAGTATGTACACGCGTCATCTAGTCGATCTAGTCCAAAATGGAATACCTGAATTCTGTTTCATCGTTTTGGGAAATATATTTGAACACAAGTGACGACTGCCGACATTAAATATTTGAGACAAATAATGCATGCTATCATATACAAAAAAAAAAAAAAAAAAAACTCCCACCAATGATGAACTCACACAACACACCCGAACGTTACAACCAGCATCAATCAGATCGAATCGATTCATTTTAAAAAAACCAGTTCGTTATACCGTAACCAAAATTGAATATCGCGAGTCATATATCGTACTACTACGTATATTTGCACTTTCTCAAAGGAAAATCCAGTATTAATTAAGGTTGATGATGGGTACTTTAATGGATAAGTAAAGGGAGCGGGAGCGGGAGGACAAACCTGGATGTTCTGTAACAAATTTATCCCACACATTTGGTCCCTTCCCGTACGTAGAAAATAATGCTGCTCCTTCAGACTGCAAATCAAGCGCGCACAATTATAAGCAAAATGAAATAATAATAATAATCATCGATCGATCGATGAAAATTCATCACCTGGTAAGCAGCAGTGCCAGCTCCAAATACAAAGCCACCGGGAAAGCTGCTTCGACTCAAATCCTTCGCCGGCTGCCCATTCCTTATCTCTCCGGCGGCGGTGCAATCGCCGGAGATAGTCGACGAGATCGTGGCCGACAAGACGCTGCAGTAGTAGAACAAGAACAGAATCCAGTACTGATCGGTAACCATACCCATGAAATGAACCATTATTCCGTTTACAACAAGACTTTGCAAGTTGCATGTATATATATATATATATAAATATATGTATGGCGTTGTATGGGCCTGCTGATGTGAGTGCCTAGACTCACTGCATGCGGTTCAACTTTCCTCGCAAATAGTGTAATCTGGAAGTACGTAGTTGGTCAATTGAAGCGAGCGAATTTTGGTTGTATTATTGGGCTAGAGACGGAATATATTCTATGTTGGTATTCGACTATATATTGAATTTGTTAAATTTGGTGAAGCAACTTTTGATAATTGATTTATTTGATAACTGATTGAAGGCTTAAATCTGATACAAAAGTTCCATATTCTATTTATATAGAAATTAAGGACATAGCATGGGTGTGCTGGAGCAGTATGGGTGACATACGTCATATATGTGATAGCCAGCTGTGGTGAGCTGGAATCTAATGACTTCCAACAGAATTGGAGACAGTGTATATCAGGGCGGACTTAGGGCAAAGGGAGGGGGTCCACCGTCCGGAAATTTTGTGAATGACCTCTATTTTTTCGGTACAAAATTTTTTAATTTGGAACTTTCGACACCGCTCTAATAATTATAAGCGACACACTTTAATTATACGACAATAGTTTTAATGTTATAAAGTTATTCATCATAATCCAATTTAACTTGTCGATTTGTAGTTAATAGGTGAATTGCGTATATTTATGGGAGATGGTGGTTTGATTTTGGTTAATTTGATAGAACTAGAGAAAAAAAATGCTAATGCAATTACTTTAGGCATACTTTGTGTTTTTTTTTTCTAAAATAGCCGATTGGTAGCAAACTAATTTATTTTAACTTAATTTGATTTTAGACATAGGTCGATTCTCTTTAGTTGAGTGACTAATTTATGAATGATTATGTAGTTGTGTATATCGAAAAAGGTTTGATTTGCAACATAAACACTGGATGTATTTTTTTTTAAAAAAATCTCAGGATATGAAAAATCGTCATAATTCGTAATAAACATGACGTTGTGAACTTAAGAATGAATTTCCAGTAATTTATATTAAATTTATATTTAATTATTATAATTTTTTATCGGCAACACGCCCTTTTCAATAATCCTGGGTCCGTCACTGGTGTATATTATATTGGCCCGGTACAAAATTACTACCGCATTCAATCACCCATCGAGATCTAATTTGCATAAGTGTGATTTTGATGATGTCAGTTTAAGTAATAACATCTTGTGTGATTATTGACATACTAATCGGGCACTTTCAACGAACTCATAACAACATACCATATGATTAGAATATCGCAAGATCACGGTTTAAATCTAAAAAAGAAGCTACTTAATTACTCTCGTTGTTATACTAACCATCATTCCGTCCATTTGAAGACATCCGCTAAAATTAGTACAATACAATCCTTTGCCACAAACCTTTGACACTAAAAGTTTGAACAGAAGTGCTTCGCGCATAAATCCCCACCATTTCTTTATTTTTCATAAAGCCGGCCGCCACCCATTTGGCCACTTTTGTTCCTTTGCACTATATATTTCATTTCTCTTCATAAGCCAATTGGCCTTATCCATCTAAGATCTAACTAGGGCTGCAAATGAGCCGAGTCGAGTTTTACCCTAATTTGAGTTCGGCTCGTTAATAATCGAGTCGAGCTCGAGCTCAGCTTGTTTATTAACGAGCAGAGTCGAGCTGGAACTAGCTTGTTTATTAAAATCTTAAATTTTATTTGGTACTTCATTTTGTATATCATTATACATATGATTTATTTTGTTAGCAAATCTCATATTATACTTTGTTGGTATCATATTCATTTAGTTAATAAATTTTAACGGCTCCAAATCATGTTATTTCATAGTATCGAAGCAATCTATGATGCATAATTTCTTTTTAAAGTAGAAAATAAGATATATTTGCTCACATACTCAACGTGTTAAACTTTATATATGGTGAGATATATAATTTAATAACCATATATGAATTAAAATCATAAGATATAGATTGATTCATCCATAAGTTGGTGATCGAGTTGGCTCTCTAGCCACATGTTAAGACATATCATGTTATTCATGAGCTCTAAACGAGCCAGTTCACAAGTTTAGCTCAACAAGCCACCGAGTCGAGCTAGCTCGCGAGCTTCACGAGCTAAACAAAGGTGAGCTCCTGTTCGGCTCGTTTATTAACGAGTCGAGTTTCGAACGAGCTTTTTTCGAGTCGAACGCCGAGCCGCTCACGAGCAGCTCGGCTCATTTGCAGCCCTAAATCTAACCATGTAGTCTTACTGCTACTACAGTCTACAAGGGTGAAAGAAAGTAAAACAATTAGCCAAAGGTAAAGAAAGAGGAAAGTAAGGTCATTGGCCAAAGGGATCGATAACATGACTTAGAGATCCATTTGATAAATAGACTGGTATGAAAAAAAAGAGAGATAGAGAGTTATTGTAGGCGGTATTTCATTATTTCATTGTGATTGTGAAAATATTTTCCCTGTGGAATTGGGATTGTTGTCGGCGAGAGTCAATTCTATGAACAAGGTGAAAAGTATCGTATCAACAGTATAATTTATAGCAGAAAAGTAAAACTGCAACCCCCATTCAAAATTTCCTGCTCATAGAGTGATTTTAGGAAGCTGATGTGGCAGAGTGTTAAGCGGAAAAAAAAGAGTCCCGCCTGATTTCAGAACCAAAAAACTCTCCACTACCCACTTTTTTCTCCGTCCAGGCCCACGTTCTCATTTAATTTGTATAAAAAACTCTCCACTACCCACTTTTTTCTCCTTCCAGGCCCACGTTCTCATTTAATTTGTATTAATTTGTATTTTTTATTTCCGATTTCCCTTCCTTCCACTCTTTCACCTCATTCGAATAAGTTTCTTGGCCTTCAGAAAACCAAACCTTGACTCAATCATCTGGTTCTTTTATGTGCTTGCATCTACCTTTGATTTCCGTTCTCTAAGCGTTAGATCGGTATTGGTTTTGCCGTAAGTTATTCTTCCTCTTTCAGATTTCTATTTGTTGTTGTCGCTGCTTTTAAGTTTTAGGGATTCGGGTTCTGGTTTTTTTTTCAGGGATTCGGTTGCAAAGATTCATCTCCCTTACCTTTGGTTCATTCCATTTTCTTTATTCTCTCTTACCTTACTCGCTTCATTCTGTTGATTGGATTCTCTAGAGATCAAAAGGGGATTTTTGATTTTTCCCTTTCTCTTGAAAGTAACAAAGCTGCTTACTTTAAATTCCACTTCGCTTAGACTGTCTTCCAGAGAGCAGCCGATTGCCGATTTTGAGCTGAGTTTTTCCGGGCCGCAGAGAAAGAAGAGGAAAGAAAGAGACGTTCGGCGGCGGCAGCCAGGTACTTCGTCCGGGTCGTTTTCCGGGTCAGTAAACCGAAGGGCCGGCTATAAACTACCGCTGGCCTGGCGGGGGAAAAGGAAAGCGTAAACCATAAGGCCTCGGGGATCCATTTCTCTCGCCAGCCCATACTTCAGAGGCCCAGCCTACTTGAGTCCAGACCCAGCCCATCGCCGACGAAATTTGGCGCGCCGTCCCTCACCCGCCACCACGTATGAGACATAATCAATTTACTTTCTGATGTTAACTCTGTTGCAGGTAAATGTCAAAATCCAACTTGATCAGTAAGGTTTTCTCTCATATGTTTCTAGGTTAATTAATCTAATGGGACTGGCTATGATCTGATAATGTACTTTCAGCTCTAATCACTAAAGAAGTATAAAGTAGGCGGTATTGATAAGCATGCTCCACTGGTTAGTGTATTGGTTCTACCAGGCTTTTTTCCCGTTATTACATAAGATCATTGGACAGTTTTATCTCACTCCATTAGTTTGTTTTATTGTTCTTCAACTTCATTTGCATTGTATTTGTATTGTGACATTAGAGTTGGAATCCATTTGTGCTAAAAGTACAAAGCGTAAACTGCATAATTGAAAGAAGGGATAAGCTTGGTATAGTTAGAAGAACTAGAATTGGTAAGCACTTATAGTGCTTTTCTTATTGCCAGCTTGCTTCTTTTTCAAACTTCTCTTTGGATATGGTTTTTATGGATGCCTTTGAATTATATTTGTGTTGGCCATTACATTGTTGTCCTTCTCGCTCTTCCTTTGCATCCCCAAGCTTGGAAGCCATTCTGTTATATGTGTTTTGTTCATCAATTTAAATTATGCCTTATATAGTTATATTTTTCTTCGACTGTTATGTTTGTGTGGTGTGTTGTATGTGTCATTAACTCGCACAAACTTATAATTGGTGAGGAGTTCAACTTCTGTTGTAACAATTAATTAATTTATATGAATGGCAGCTGAAAAATTTACTGGAACGGGTGCATCATTTACCACGACCTCTATTTCAGATTGCATCAGGTTATTGGAGAATTTAATATGGATAGTGCAAATGTCATCCCATCTGCCCAACCACAGATTTATCGATCGTCTGTACCATGTGAGTGTCATGGTTTAGCACGCAACTGCTTCAATGCAAACTGACATTAATATTTTCCCTTGAATCTCATTTGTTTAGGGAAACGTCGAGCAGTGTTTATTCATCCTGAAGATCAGTACCAACGCTGTGTTTTATCTGCTGAAGAGGAAGAAGCATTTGAGAGAGGTGTGTTATCTGTGTTTTAATTTTTCTAATTAGTTCATCTATTCAATGAGTAATACATGGTTTTATATTTAAATTCTGCAGAAGAAGCTGCCTTACAATTCCAATTCTCTCAACTTCGGCGAATACTATCCCAAGTCGCCCGTAAGAGAAGACATCATATTTTGAAACAGAAGGTTCATAGGAGGAGGGGCTTGCCTTTTGAACACCAAGGTTGTTGTTTGCTAAATTTTGTAGCAAGTCTTACAAATTAGACTATTCTAGATTGTTGAATCTTTATTTATTTCTTTAATATTGTATGTGTTTTGGTGTTGTTCATAGTTTTGGAGCCGGAGTTTAGATTTCTATTATAAAAGCAAAGTCGATTACTTCGACGTATTCATCTGCATAGAAAGAGACGTGGCCGAAGTTTCTTTCCTACAGAAGTCAATCAAAGTATGTGGATTCTAATGGCCACTATTATACATGAAATGGTTCATCTCTATTTTGGTTTAGTTTTTGTACATTGGATATATGTTTTTGTGTTCTGGTCAACATATTTTGTTTCCTATTTTGGTTTTAGAACATATAATGTACCCATTTATGTCATGCATATAATTTAGTGATGTACGCTTCATGTCACCTTATGCAAATAGTGGATTGTTTTTAGATGTTGATGTGTCAACGACAAATTTGTGTGTTATGAACAAACTTTGGTGTTTCCTGAAATTTGACTTATTCTTACTTAAAATGAGCGCTATACCAATCTATCTTGCCTTGAGAACATTTATTTTAATAATTGTGTTTACTGTAGCGCGCCTAAATCGGCTTCACAGTTTCTCAATCTCATTCAATTTATGAATTACTGTGACAAAAATTTATTAATATTACTTATATATTTCACTAGGTCTTCCGTTGGTTGAATTTTTTGATATTGGTCCACCTTCATGTACGTGTCAACATTGTGGAGCAGTTATGTGGCGGTTCGAGAGTACTTTATCTACACGGAATGATGTGTTGTCTGCATTTCCTTTATGTTGCAAACATGGTAAAGTGAAATTGCCTCCCCGCAGAGATGTGCCCGAATTTCTTTAAACTCTACTTGAAGGGGATACACCATTAGCGCGTCACTTTCGTACTAACATCAGAGCCTATAATGGGGTTTTTTGCTTTATTTCTCTTGGAGGTAAAGTCAATCACTCTATTAATGATGGTCGTGGAGTTTATGTATATTCAATCGGTGGTCAGATTTATCATCGAATAGGATGTTTGGTTCCTGGTGATGGGGATAGTCCGAAATTTGCACAGCTTTACATTCACGATTCAGATAACGAGGTGTAGAATCGTATGGACTTTTACTCCACTGATCCTGCCAAGAATCCGTTGCGCCAGTGTATTGTTGAAGGCCTCCAGCATATGTTTGATGACAATAATATCCTGGTACGTACATTTCGTTCTGCGCGAGATAGGATACAAAACTCTGGTGTCCAGGAGCTTCAACTGAAACTATTGGCTAAGCGTGAAATTAATAGTAGAGAATATGATTTGCCCTCTGCGAATGAGATTGCAGCATTGATTGTAGATGAAACAGGAGAGCAATCATTTTCTCCAGATATAATTGTTCAACAGAAGGGTTCAGAAATGGAAAGGATTAGCGTATACCATCCAAGTCTGATGGCATTACAATATCCAATTTTATTCCCATATGGCGAGGATGGGTGGCATCCCTGCATTAGCTATAGTCACAGTAGCTCTAATATCAGTGTTGGAGATAAAATGATAACCCAGTGTGATTTCTATGCATATCGTCTTCAAACCCGTCTCCAGGAGTCGAATTCTCTGTTATTATCTGGTAAATTGTTTCAACAACATATGGTGAATGCATTTGCGTTAATTGAGGCTGAACGCTTAGACTGGATGCGTACCCATCAGTCGAAGCTAAGAGGACACTACTACAAGGATTTGTTGAATTCTTATTTGCGAGGGGATAGTGATATCAAGCTTTCTGGGAAGCCAGTTATTTTAGCTGCCTCACACACTGGTAGTCCAAGATACAAGTATGAGAATTTTCAGGATGCGATGGCTATTTGCAAGTGGATTGGTTATCCTGATTTGTTTATAACATTCACTTGCAATTCTAACTGGCCAGAGATACAGTTAATGGTTGATTTGATTAGAAGGTACAGTGGCAAAGATCCTGACCGGGCTGACATCACCGCCAGAGTTTTCAAAATCAAGCTTGATGAGTTTATGTTAGAGATTCGCGAGAAACAAATATTTGGGAAAATCAATGCATGTATGTGTGCTTATTCATTCGTTATTTATCTATTAATGTTCATCCATTACTCTCTTACCTCATTGAACTAATATTCCTTTTCCACTATTTGCATCTTGCTGTACAGATGTCAAAGCAATTGAATGGCAAAAGCGGGGTCTCCCTCATGCACACATATTGCTTTTTTTGGCCTCGGAGAATAAATTCCATGGTCCTGCGGCTATTGATTCCATAATATGTGCTGAAATTCCGGATCTTGATCTTGATCCTGAACTGTATGCAGTTGTCACAAGTTCAATGATGCATGGCCCGTGTGGTACAGTACGTCCTAATAATGTGTGCATGAAGAATGGGAAATGTAGTAAGCATTACCCCAAGGAATACTCTTCTCAAACAACTATTGATGAAACTGGGTTTGCTAAATATCGTCGGCGGAACAATGGTAGAGTTTTCAACTGTGGCGGCGTTGATCTGGATAATCGATGGGTTGTACCCTACAATCGATATTTGTTACTACGATTTGGAGCGCATATCAATATTGAATATTGTAAAAAGACAAGGTATGGCTGAAGTAAATCGTATTTATCTATATGACGTTGTTGTTTCCTTTATTATATTACCAAACTCAGATTCTTAATGACAGGCTATATGTATATTTATATGCTACACTCATTATTAACTTTATGCATGCATATGAATTATGATTTAATTTCCAAAGATGAATAAAAACCAAACCAATATTTGTGCGATTTCTCTTTTTTTTAGTTATTTTATAAACCCAGTGTTATCTTATTGGTGTGACTTCTTGCCGCAACTCTGTAATTTTTGTAATATTTTTTGGTGTGTTTTCCTTCATTTTTTTTGCCCCTTGGATAAGCTATTGTGATCCATTTGTTGCCTTTTGTTCTCTGTACTTTGATTTCTTATTTAATACAAGTCACATTTAAGAAAAAATGTAATACAACTTTTTCCTACTTCCCTATCTAACATCTGCAACTTGGTTTTATTTGATGTTTCTATAGGGCTGTGAAATATTTGTTTAAGTACATCAACAAACCCGAGGATTGTGCAATGGTCACTGTAGCTGCACAACAAACAGCTTCGGCTATGGATGGTCGGAATCGTGGAACTATGGTTGTGCAAATCGATGAGATAAAGGCATTCATGGATGCCCGTTACATCACATCGGGAGAAGCATGTTGGAGAATTTTTAGGTTTGATATATACACTCACTCTCCAACAGTACTGCGTATGTCCTGTCATTTGCCTGGTGAGAATACAGTGTATTCAAATGTTGATTCTAACGTGGAGGAAGCGGTTGAGTCTAGCAGTTCCCAAACCTCAATGTTGTTAGCATGGATGGATCTCAATCTTCAGTCAATGGATGCACGGAAATATACCTTTGCGGAGATGCCACAATATTATGTATGGAATAAAAAATACAAGAAGTGGCAGCAGCGCAAAAAAGGTACCTGCATTGCTAGATTATATTACTGCTACCCATCCGCAAAGGAGCGATACTATTTGCGAATGCTATTGCATGTTGTTAGGGGTTGTTGTTCTTATGATGATATTAGAACAGTGAATGGGGTGGTATATGAAACATTCCAAAAAACATGTTATGCTCGGGGATTGTTATCAGGAGATTCTGAATGGAATGATTGTGTCCAAGAAGCTTCGCACTGGGCTTCTGGTTATAAACTTAGAAAACTTTTTGTCACAATTCTTATTCATTGTCAGGTGGCTGATGTGACTTCTTTTTGGTTAAAGAATTGGGAATTACTAAGTGAAGGCATTTTGCATTCACGACGTAGAGAGCTGAATTTACCCCAGTTGAATTTGTCGAAGGATGAAATTAAGGAGTTGTGCCTTATTCATATTGACAAATTGATGGAGAGATTTTCGAAGTCATTAGCATATTTCCCTGGGTTGCCTGTTCCCGATCAGTGTTTGCGTTCACATACGGTAAACAGGCTGATAGATATGGAGATGAATTATGGACCCGATGACTTAGACTGTTCTGAGGATCGACATAGTAGACCGTTGAATGGAGAACAACAAATCGCTTACGATATGGTATTACATTCTGTTTATACCAATGAGGGTAAATGCTTTTTTGTGGATGGATTTGGGGGTACTGGTAAGACATTTCTGTGGCGAGCAATTTGTGAGAAATTAAGATTTGAGAAGAGGATAGTATTATGTGTTGCTTCATCTGGTATTGCTGCACTGCTCATGGTCGGTGGAAGAACTGCACACTCAAGATTTCACATTCCCCTGGATTGTGATACAAAATCAATTTGCAATATTGAGCAAGGTTCTGAGGTAGCTGAATTGATTCTCAATGCTTCACTTATTATCTGGGATGAGGCACCGATGGCTCATAAACACAACATAGAGGCCCTAGATAGGACATTGAGGGATATTTTCCGAGTTAAGCATGTTGATTCTGAGTTGAAGCCTTTTGGAGGTATGACTATTGTGTTTGGAGGTGATTTCCGACAGACGTTACCTATCATCACGAAGGGTACACGGACTGAAATTGTTAATTCTTCCATAAAGAGATCTTATTTGTGGCGGTCTATGACAGTATTGAAGCTAACCGAGAACATGCGATTAAAATTGCCTCATTCTGAAGCATCGGCCAGGTTAGCAATCTCAAATTTTAGCAAATGGCTTTTGGAAATTGGTGATGGTAAAAATAGTAATATTTTTGGAGAATCAATTATCCTGATACCTCTACACATTTGTGTTCCCCGTCGCAGTGATCCAATTCCTGATATTGTTGCTGAAATATATGGCCAGTTACTCTCCACTGAAAATATGTCAACCTATTTGGTTGAGCGAGCTATCTTAGCCCCTCATAATGACACTGTTGCGGCCATTAACAATTATGTATTGGGTCTATTTCCTGGTGAAGAAGTTTCTTATTTTAGTTCGGATTCGCTAGAGATTGATGCCAAGAATCAGCATGTTGAAGAAGGGGACTACACAGTTGAATTCTTGAACTCTTTAAAGATTGGGAATTTTCCGGAACATGAGTTGAAATTGAAGTTGGGGTGCCCTATTATTCTGCTTCGAAATCTGGATCAGAGTACTGGGCTTTGCAATGGAACTCGGATGATCGTTAAGAGATTAGGTAAGTGGTTTATTGAGGTCCAAATTTTGACCGGGACACATGTTGGTGATACAGTTTTCTTACCACGCCTAAGTCTATCGGTCCACTACAAGAGCTTAAATTTCACTCTGGTTCGAAGGCAATATCCAATTGCACTGTCATATGCAATGACAATTAACAAGAGTCAAGGTCAAACATTAAATCACGTTGGCATCTGCTTGCAAAGACAAGTATTTTCTCATGGACAGTTGTATGTTGCTATGTCTCGAGTTACGTCGGAAAGGGGACTCAAGATTCTTAGCTGTGACTCTCAAGGTAAACCGGTGAAGACTATGCAGAACATTGTGTTCACTGAGATTTTTGAGTAGTGGTTTATTGATGTATTATGTTTTATTCGATTTGAGGACTAAGACTGTCAAAT